TCTACAGCTGTCGACTCGCTAATTGGAAAATCGAACAAAACGCAAGCCCCCGCCTCTTCAAAGAGCTCTTTTTCCAAGTCTGTTGACCTTACAGAGGACAATGACATTGATCCCACCTCCAACAAAAGTAACAAAAGCTTCCCGGGAACAACTGCACAATCCCGCAATTCCCGCCCAACCGAACCGCAGCAGAAAGCTAAAGTACAGTCTTCCCTCCTCGACTTGGATAGGTTTGCCTACAACAAGAACAATCCTCATTCTCTCACGTCTACTTCAGAACAACCTGCCCCACCACGCAGACGCCTTATCCAAGGACGCCGGAACAAATCACCTTCACCCCCACCTGTATTTTCTGTTTCTTCTTCAGCAACTTCACCCCCAACCTCCCCAGCAGCCTCTCCTGCAAGTTCTCAATCTACCGCAAAGATGGCAATCACTACGACCGTTCCTCCGCAGGCTGGCCCTGCTGTCAAGCGCCGTAGACTGGTTCAAGGCCGTCGTGCTCAAGCGCAACCCCAGCCAATCACAATCGACTCGGATTCTGACGACGAATTCCTCACCACCCCGGCTGTCAACTCACGAAAGCGCAAGATTTCACCTTCACCCAAGATTGAAACCCCCACCCCTCCAATTGACGTACCCTCAGATGAAAATTCGGATGCGGGTGAACTTCTGGTGGGCGAGCGCCAACAGGTGCTAAAATACCTTAACAGCTGTTCTGTCGATGAACTCTCCAGAATGACTGGACTCCCCGAGGACGCCAAGCTCATGATTCAAGCCCGCCCCTTTGCCACCCTTGCGCAGGCAGAACGCATCTCACGCAAAGAAAAGGCGAAGTCGAAGAGGAAGTCCTCGCGCGCTGAGGTTGGATTGGTTATCGTCGAAAAGCTGGCTGCCTGGTTCCAGGCTTTCGAAGCTGCAGCAACTGTCATCAAAGAATGCGAAGAGCGAGGCGCGACATTGCAATCAATCATGGCAACCTGGCCAATGGACAAGAACGGATGCATGAAACCCAACTCCGATTTGAGCGAACTGCCCATTAGCGCTAAGCCTTCGCTTATGGCTGAAGATGTGCAGCTCAAGTCGTACCAGCTACTCGGCCTCAACTGGATGAACCTCCTACACTCCAAAGGATACAGCGGCATCCTCGCAGATGATATGGGTCTTGGCAAAACATGTCAAGTCATTTCCTTCATCGCACAACTGGTGGACTCCTACATGCCACCAGACGAAGAGGACTCAGACCACGAAGACGAGGAGGACAACGGAAGAGCCCCTTGGCCCAATCTAATTGTAGTGCCCCCGAGTACCTACGAGAATTGGTTGTCGGAGTTCGAGAGGTTTGCACCAGAGATCTCTGTGATGCCTTACTACGGTTCCGATCGACGAAACATAGATCCAGAAGAGGCCCAGAACTACCATGTCGTCCTCACCACTTACACACAGGTTGAGAGACAGCACGAGGACCTTCAGTTCCTACAAGAACTCAATCCGCATGCGGCCATCTTTGACGAAGGTCACAAGTTGAAGAATCCGAAGACACTCATATACAAGAAGATGATGCGCGTACCATCTGATTGGCGTCTCATTTTGAGCGGCACACCAGTTCAGAACAACCTCAAGGAACTCCTCAGCGTCCTCCATTTTGTCGAACCGGATCTTTTCGAAGGCGACGATTTCGAGCGACTCCAGACTATCTTCGAAGCCAAGGTCCCCAGCAAGGATGTCCACAACTTCGCGGCACTAGCTAAGGAGCGAGTCGGCAATGCCCGCACGATCATGGCACCATTCATCCTGCAGCGTCGCAAAGACGACGTTATTGACCTTGCCAAGAAGACCGAACGCAACATAGTCGTCGACATGCATCCAGAGCAGAAGCTGATCTACAACGAGATCAAAGGGACGTATCTACATCAACCAAAGACCGCAAAGCGAGGTGCAGCGGCATCGACCATCAAGAGCGGTAACTCGTGGATACAGCTGAAGAAAGCTGCTATTCACCACCAGCTGTTCCGCCGTCACTTCACTGATTCGCGCGTCAAGGAGATGGTAGATCTCCTGTGGAAGCATTGTTCCGAGGATGAGCTTTATGTGCAGAGCAAAGAAGATCGTCACAAAGCCCTCCTCCTGGCCGACTTCAAAGAAAAGTCGGACTTTGAACTGCATACGTGGTGCAAGGAGTTCAAGAAATACATTGGACACCTAGACGTTCCCGATCGCTCGTGGGAAGACAGCCCGAAGGTGAAGAAGCTGCTCGAGCTCGTCCGAGGCTACCAGAAGACGGGCGACCGGGTTCTTGTCTTCAGCCGTTTCGAAATGGTCATCAACGTGCTCCGGGACACGCTGTACTTCGCGGGAATTCCCTACTGCGAGCTGACGGGCCAGACCAACACGGCGGACCGGTTTCCGGAGATCCAGAAGTTCAACGCGGACCCGACGATCCCGGTGTTCCTGCTGACGACGGGGGCGGGCGGCACGGGCCTGAACCTGACGGCGGCCAACAAGATCGTGCTGTTCGACCAGTCGGACAACCCGCAGGACGACGTGCAGGCGTCGAACCGCGCCCACCGCATCGGCCAGACCCGCGACGTCGAGGTCGTCCGCCTCATTACCCGCGACACCGTCGAGGGCCTTATCTACAACTCGTGCGTCAAGAAGCTTATGCTGGCCGCCTGCGTCGAGGGCCAGTTCGGTGCCGGCGGCGCCGATGGCGATGACGAGGAGGTCTCCGTCGAGGAAGAGTGCCGCAAGCTCATGCTCCTCGAGAGCGAGGTAGAGGCCACAACGACGACCGCGCTGACGAAATCGTAAGCGGTGGGTTCGTGTTGAACCGATATACTATACTACGAGGTTGACCGACCGACTGACCGACTACCTGACCGACTCGCGAATCATGTTTGCTGTTTCTTTGTTTTAGTTTCTGCGATCAAGAGTAGCGATGACGAGACGGACGGTAGTCGACGTATAGTACAGAGGAAGGATGTTTAATGGATTTGCAAGGTGTCTGTCAAGATTCTGTCTGTTGTTACATAACAATCCAGAAAAGGACAGGAGCAGGAAGAGAGCGAGCGGAGGAAGCCTCCCGAATGATTTGATTACATCGCATGGTATAGCATTGCTTGGCTTAGCATGGCACGGAATGACATTGTGGTCCATCTGTCCACATGAGCGGTTGGTGCTTTCTTGAGTGTGGATAGAGAAGGGGGGATATACCCATACCCATGCCCATAGACTACCTAGACTAGACTAATCAGTAAAAACAGTGTGTTTTGCTTTCCAACTCGTCTTTTTACCTTCTACACACATATATCATGGTATTCTCTGCGTTATGGTCAGTGGTGATATGATTAGTTGCTAGGAAACATCAATCGATAGGCGATGTCTGGAAGAATGTCGGTAGTCTTGGCCTCCCTCCTGGTATCTACGGCTATAGCGTATTGCCTTCTAACTAATGAACAACGGGGTTTGCTGACATTATTGAATTGCTATCAACTGTGTCTGTTTCTACCTGGATCAATAGACGAGGAAGATACATCTGCTACATCATTAGCTGCTGATATACTCAGCATAGGTACGAAGGAAGTACTTATCCGACTGATATACTTGGGGGTTTGAAGTGACGATAGACAAGGACAGCAGTGACAGCAGAGCCCAATAGTATTCTTCCATCACAGACTACACAAGCAAGTTTTAGTCAGAAGTCTGCCCAGTTTTACCCGCCTACCTCAGCGCAGTACACCACGTATATAGGTATTAACAGCAGGATACACCAACAGCAGGATACACTGCGGTTAGATTGTAGTATAATTACCCCCCGAGAGAAAGCAGAGGCAATCTACGAAGAATGAACTCCGAACTCGCGTCGACATACAAAACCCACAGGTCAAGTTCTAGCAGACGCCCTTTCTCCCCTCGACCCTTTCATTGACATGAAGATCTTGCCTCTGTGGGAGGTAGGCGTAGAAGCCCATCTTCCATTACTTTCTTATATGCATCTAGTACCACTTATTCGTAAACTATTGATGATACAGCCTGCTCAACTTGGTGAAATACTCCCGTCATGGTCTCCATAACTCACCCCCCTTGTTCTGTCCTTATTGCTCGACGCGTTTGGCAGTGTCCTTGGTTTCGTTCCCGATATTGGAGATCGTGGTGCAGGCAGTACTTACTCACTGCCGTCTGTAATATCGTCTTCTGAGCATCCAATAGCTTAAACAACTTCGAACTTTCCATTCTCCTTTGTTAACCGAGTCGCTGGATGTACCTTATCTCAGAAACAGAATCTCAGGAACAGAATCTCAGAAACAAAATCTCAGAAACAGACCACTTTTTCCTAGGTGTGGCTGGCGCCACTGGTTCCGGAGAGTGGTCTAAGACGGCGATCGAACTCCTATAGGGGCCAGGGCGGATAAGTACCCCCCTATATACCTTTTTTCTTATAACTTTGTTAATTTTTAAGATATTTAAAATCCGATAACGTTTAAAGGTAATTATGAAATATAATTACCTTTAAATACTTTTATATTTATAATATATTATATTAAATTAAAATATAAGCCGAATTTTAAAAAAATTAAAAGTATTTATTAAAATATTATATTCTTATTTATTTTAAAGTTAAAATATATTAGTTTTAAAACGTATAAACTTAAAATATATATTAAAATGATCTTTATTAAGCTGTAATTCTTAACGTATTTTCAGAATTTTTATAAAATTAAAATTAATTAAGTTACGAAAAAGTAATAATGCGGTATTCTTTTCTTTTTATATATTTGTTTACCAAGGTTAGCCCTTTTTCGAATCGCCGTCTTAAACATCTTTCCTGAATCATTCGCATCATATTAGCCACATATAAGCCACCACTAGCCACTACCAGCCCGGGTTAATGAAGACAGAAGCCTGGGGCTTCGACCGCACTCTCGTCTGCTCTAAGGCTTAACCTGACGCAAAAATATAAGCTGCCTGCTATGAAGCAGGAAACCTGCAAAAGTATAAGCTGATGAGAGTGGGATTTGAACCCACGAGGATTGCTCCACCAGGAAACTGTTGTTTACATGTCAACATGTTAAGGTAACCTTAACCTGGCGCCATAACCAACTCGGCCATCTCACCGTCAAGCATCTTCTGGATGCTATGATTTGATTTGCTAGGTTCCAATTGCTTGGTTTCGTTTGTTCTTAAGTGACATTATAGGCATGATCTAGGGAATCTAGAAAATTTTTCATGGCTCGGCTGGCTCGACTGGCTCGGCTGGCTCGGCTGGCTTTCGCTAGGGCTCTGACTAGGAGGGTAGGGCTCTGACTACTTCGTAGGAGGGCTGCCATCGAATCAGCTGTATGGGTGTGGATGCCCAGATAAGGTATAAAGGGTCCGATAAGGTATGGGAACAATACTATGCAGGGAAATCAGGCCAATAGGGATGGATTACTTATTTCTCAAGAATCCATCCTGACAATTTGTATATTAGCAGCTAAACCTTCCGTTTCTTTTCTTCCTGTCGGCATGGAGTGTGCCTTAGGGGCCTGCAGTATACGTTAAAGAGACAAACGGAGACCTGCAGGGCAGAATCACATACAAATAGGACTTAGCTGGCTCAGATAGACAATTCCCGAACTATGGCGCTTCCACTTACCTCCCACTGCTCCCATTTGCCCACACGTTCCTTTTAAAGGAGAACAACAACAAGTGCAACAAAGCCTTAGAATCTAATACATCAGCTGGATCAGCAAACAATTAGGTTATTAAGGGCCCGTTGCCAGGAAGCACATGGAAATAGCAGAACCATGCATGATGGACCAGCATAACGAAGCGGCAAAAAGAGCAGCTGGCGGCTGGCGGACAGAAATAACAAAAGAATAAAAAAACGACCAACGCAGGATTCGAACCTGCAATCTCTAGAGGGTATCATGATGAGTGAACCGAAATCTAGCGCCTTACCATTAGGCCAGCTGGCCAACCGAGTTCTCGAGAGAAGATCCCGAGAGTGGATGGTTGTTTGATGAAGGTTTGAAACATATTCTGCTATATAATCGCAACAGAGTTTTTCTGGCGCTATGAATACCCCTCAGTTTAGGTCGCGGTTAGTTTGAGTAGATGGGCTGATAGGCTGATAGGCTGGTAGGCTGATGGGCTAGGCCTACATGCGTACGTTGTGCGTCTAGCGTAATTAGGTATTGTACCTATAGCCTGTAACTTACAGCTAGGCAAACGGAGCGTAAAATCTAGGCGAACGGAACCAACCCACTTGCGCAGCTATTACCTAAGGGTGAAGATACTAGGCTTAACTCTTCCTGGAAGCTATCAAGGCTCTTGCTCGGCGTTCACTAATCAAGGCCAAATGGGTGTTTGGTTGGTTATGTTCATGTTACTTAGGGAGGTACCTAGGCTGCTAGGTAGTATGCATGCAGTTGGAAGTTCGACCGAAGGCACCAATGGAGCTGGAGATAAGGCCATTTGCGCGAGAAGCTGGTAGTGCCATATGCAATGCAGAACACCTCGCACGAAGCGCCTCTTGCAACTGTCTCTTGAGGGGGATGGTGGGTGGGCACAGTCCGGAAGTGACCGAAGACCCTGAAAACCAAAGCAAGGAGCCACTGACGTTAAAGCGGGAGTGGTGAGTGGTTGGTGGTTGCGAAAAATATTACTACCTAGGTATGTAGGGTGGCCTCTAGGCACTACAGAGTATATCTTCGGCTCGGCCGGCGTGCATGCAAGGAGAGCGCGTACGCTACGTATCAGAACTAAGTGATGTTACGTCGGGATGCATTTATGGGTAGCCACAGTAATCACTATTTCAAAACACATTTCGACCTATAAATTTTATTATAAGTACATTATTAAAAAATTAAATATATACCTATATATAAGTATATAATAATTAAATGCATATAAGCAAATTTAATAAATGCAATTCAAATAAAACGGTTTTAAATAAATAACGCCAACCAAATTAATATTACCTTAATTTTTTAATATAGCCATTTTTAAATTAAACCAAAATTATATTTTAATTCCTAGAATTAAAGCGATTAAAACGCACGTTTTCTTTTTCTCATAAGAATCGTTACGTAAAAATTACGAAATTAAAACAAAATATAGGCTTATATAAAATTAACTAAGGATTAATAATAAGCAAATAACTAATATTAAAAAATACAGGCTAATATAGGATTTTATAAGCTAATACGAAATTCCAAAGGCGATAACAAAGCTATATAAGCCCGTATAAGCATAATGAAAAATTACCTTTATAAGAGTTTTACGTACGAAAACAAAGCATTGCCGGACTTATTTAAAAACGTTACTATAACGTCCGTTTATAACGATTTCCGCAAATTTACCGGCTTTTTAATAAATAAGTTACGCCATATAAAATCGCATAACGTTAAAATTTAAACCAATAAAAACCAGGTATATTATAGCATTTTATAGCTTTATATAGGCTTATATAAACTTTAATAAGGTATTATAAACCGTTAAGTAATTCGTAATACTTTATAAATATTACGGCAATAACGAACGGTTTATTATTGCAATTATCGAAATTAAAAGAATTTAACAAGTTTCCGTAATCGGCGTTTATTTTTTCTTAAAAGTTATTAATGGCTATATATATAATAATTACAAAAATAAATATCTTATAAACCTATATAAATTTATATAACCCTATATAACCCTATATTAATTAATACAAATAACCGTAATAACGGCCTATTTAAGAAATACGTTTTTTTCGGCCCGGCTATCTTTAATAAGGCCTATTTTTATTGCTAATACAAGTCGTCGGCCGTTGGTTATAATTTCCAAAAGAGCCATAAGTACTACGTCGATTTAAAGCTTAATACGTTTTCTTATAGCCTTTTATAGGAATATATAAACTTATATAAATTAATACCGGCTATTATAAATAAAAAAACATTAATCCGCATATTTAGCCCCGAATTATTATTAAGCAACTTAATAACGTTACCAATAAAAAGCTAAAACAAATTAAGAATTAAATTACCCAAAAACAAAACCGCCGCTAAGGTTTTAATAACGGTTCTTCGTCCGCTAAAAAGCGCCGAATGAATTAAATAAAATCTTTCGTAATTATATAAAATTATACGAATTTCTTATAAGATATTACAAAAACTTATAAAAGGCTCGGGAATTATATAAGCCTATATAAACCTATTAAAGGCTTTACGATTATAATATAAACGTTTATATAGTGTTACGTAATATAGTAATCCCTAGGATTATTCAGTATTACGTACCCTTACCTAGTACTGCTAAGGACTATATAAAAATTCTTGGAATCCTTAATATTTCATAGCAATTTATGCTTTTATTACTTTATAACTTTACTTTTATATTGGTAATAAATAATACTAAATATTATATAACGATATTATGCCTTTATATATAATTAACGTTATCGACGCCGCCGGCATTTTTAATTAAAAGCAGGAAATCCGGAACGTTTATAATATATGGTAACATTTTTAATTAAAATTTAATACTAATTGTTTATAATTTATTAAATCTCGAGAACGATGCGTAACCGTTAAGAACATAAATCCCTTTAAACCTTACGATAAGCAAAAAAGATTAAAAGACCCGAATTACTTCGAAACAGGCTAATTAAGTACCGATTTAAATAAATAGAATCTTAATTACCTTAAAAAAGTTACTTAAATTAGGTAACGAATTTACAAACGAAGACGTAACATTATTTACGGCTTTTTATAAAGCCTTTTCGGTAACTTATTATAATGCGCCTTATAAACAAAAAAAGGCGTTTCTTGCTTTATACGAAAACTGGCTTTAATTGTTAGCAATATAAAAGTTCGAACTTATTAATTTATGGCTTATAATTATAAATTTAACGAACGTTTGGAATTTTCCGAAACCTTAATTTATTCTTTTAATACGAATTAAAGAAATTATGTAATAAGTAAAAACGATATACGATAAAGGGTTAAATATAATTATATAGCCGATATCGAAACCGGTAATTTTTATAACCTTGCAAAAAAATATTAAAAGAAAAATCCGAAAGCTTTAAAATTTCTTAATGTTATTACGGTAATAAAAAAAGTCGCCAAATTCTTTAATAAATAACATTATTAAAGCGGAACTTTTGTTAATTAAAAAATTTAAACGTTCGGAAAGATTTTTTTTTTTAAACGTATAGCCAATACGGAAAAATTAACGGCTTCTTTAATGAAATCAATTCTTAAAAAAAAAGGGATTACCTTTTAAAAGTCGTTAGTTATTTTAAAGTCCCTTTTATACGATATATCCGTTATTATTATAAAAAAGAATAATTCGCTAATACTTAAGGGCCTTTCGGTAAGAAACCTAATTATTTAAAAAGGCCAAATAAATTTAAGGGATTTATTTTAATCGAACGATTTAAGGCTAAAAACTTTTACGCATATAAATTAATACGGAATTTCTCGATAAATGTCGTTCGCCCAAAATCTAAAATAGCCGGTATCGAAAACGGTACGGAAAAACTCTAAAAAATTAATAATTATGCTTAATTTTGTTATATCCGGGCGAAAATAGCTTAGTCGTATTTTTATTATGCCGGTAAGTTAATTTTATTTTAATAACGAAAAAGAGTTTAAAATAAAGCATTATTTTAAAAAATGGTTTAAATAATTTAAGACATTTATGAAAATTATAAGAAAAAATATTTTTACCGAAAAGAATCGTCGCTGCGGAAGAAATATCGATTTTTAGCATTATTAATAACCGTTCGTTATTAAGGAAACCGATTATTTCATTAACGAATTACGTCGCTTAAAAAAATAATTTTATGTAGAGCTATTTGGATTATATACGCCAAATAATGCATTATAACGATATAAAAAATATTTTTACGGAAAGCCATTTAATGCTTAAACGTAAGCGGAACTTTTTAATAGCTATTATATTGCTAATAATATTAAACGAAATCCTTAAGCGCATGTACGAAACGAAGCGTTATTATGGGGATATTTATTATAACGAAACGAAATACCTTTTAATAGCCAATTATTAATGCATATTTAATAACTTGCATTGCATTCGGAAAACTTTAAAAACGATTAATTATTTTCCCGGTTTTAGCAGCCATGAAACGCATTAAAATAAGCCATTTAAATCCTAAAACGACCGGAATACCGAAGCCGCTTTACGAATACGGACGCCTCCGACGGTTCCGAATGGGCTACCCGATTATTAAAAGCCCTAGTTAAACGTATAAGCAGTAATACGGGAACCTAAAAATTTCGCGTTAAAGATTTTGGGTTTTTCGATTTTTAAAATTACCGAAAGCGCCTGGAATTTATTTTAATTATTAATTTTAACGAATCGATAATATGGTTTAATTATATTCCGTAATTAAAAGAATTCGAGGCTTAAGTATTTAAAAGTTTCGAAATTACCAAGAAAATTTTATTTAATTTTTACCTTTGCTTTAAAAACGAAGCTATAAGTTAATAAATAATCGAATTTATTTACGAAAAGCGCCAAATAATTTGTAATAAATAATTATTAAATATATTACGGAATTATTTTAAGGCCCGTTTTAATATAAGGCAATTAATAGCAATCCGAACGCTTTAAATATATAAATACGGCTAAAATCAAATTAAAAAATTCGAATTAAAGGTTTAAATAACGCAAATCGAAATATTAATTAAAATAGCGAATTATATTAATTAGAAATTAAAAAATAAAGTTCGTATTTTATTATTCTTAAAGTTACGTATAACGTTATTTATATTAAATTATTTTAATAAATAATATATTATTAAGAAAATTGCTTAAATTATAAACGCTTGCATATTTAATTGGATTAATATAAAATCCCTTTATAAATTTTTTTTTAAGATTATCGCATTACGTAGCATTAATAAGATCCGTTTCGATAGTATTGCGTTTTTTTTAATAAACGCCCGACTTATTGTCGATAAAAACG